TCGTGCGCTATTGTGCGTGTTACCGCATGCATTAGCAGCTCTATGGTGTTTGAGAAGTGAAATGCAAGAGGACTGTTTCGCAAAGAACGCGTGAAAATTGGAGAAAAAGTTTCAGAAGAAAAGATCAGATGCTGCCCAGAACTAGGAGCACTTTGTAATTAATTATTTTCCATTGACGATATGTAAATATGAGTAGAAGTTTAATCATCGAACAAAGATAAAAGGGAGAACATCGAGTGAATTTAATTCGATTACAGAGAGTCGTAAAAAGCTTCGTATTAAAAGAATTAATAATTGCTACGTGAATTGTATAATTTCTCGTTCCTTTTAATTGCAGAAATTTCGACTCTACCTTTCGTACATTGTCTGTAATCGTCTTGTCAGTCATCATCGCAAAGTCAAATCTGCTTGCATTCACTCTTAGTTCGAAGAAGCTTGCAAAGAGATCAACATTTCGAGTCGAGTAGGCTATCGAACTTGGATTCATCGACAAATACATCTATCTGCTTTGCCTTTTCAAAGAAGGATTTAGCTTTCATTCGAACAGCCGACGTCTGCATATTTTTATTGTTGAGCATAAAAGAGGAAACGATTTTTCGTCCGATCGCTTTATTTCTCCTATTTTTACCTAGCTAAAGATTTCTGTAATAATTAAGTAGACCAGACAAAATTGTCCCATCTGTCCCCGTGCGTGTCGGGAAATTAGAAATAGACTAATACACAAATTTATTTCGGGCAAGTTGTAGATTTAATATTTATTTTTTAATCCCATTTAATGTGCACCTAATGTCACTCCTTGCGCCTTATTGGGACAGATAAAAAATTGGATAAAAGTCGCGATTACACGAGCGAGGTCTATCTATTAAAACAACGTGTTTGGCTTTTCGTATTACTGCTTGTTGCGTCCCGCAACCATGCGCGGCGCAAGAGCTGTCATCGGCGTCCTAGAAACAACTTCGGTAACACGGGAAGCGGGATATTAGTGAACAATGGTGGCCATAATGCTTCCTGCCGGTTATAACGCCGAGTTATACCTGCCTGCAACTTGAGTCAAGCGCAAACCTAGGATTGGATGGCAGACAATTTAAGCTCGGCTTACGATTTAAACAACGGTTGCTGTACAAGCGGGCCTCCATCCGCCACCCCCGGCTCCCGCCCCGTTTAAACACTCTTACAACCACCCAAATGTGGTATGGATTAATTCATTCAACGTCCCTATCTGCATCCGGGAAGGGGCTTTTAGGCGCTTAAAGCGGGAAATAAATCTATCCCGCGCGGCGAGCCTCACCGAGATCGCAGCAGCAAAGAATCTAAATTGCGGTTGCCGTTGTAATCCATCGTTGTCACCCGCGCGAAATAAATGATATCCGTAATTGTACGTACCGTACATTTTATTAAGCTGGCCATTGTTCGTCGTCGAAAGTAAACTGTCTAGTGGTGCGTATTTCCGCGTCGTATATTTTGCGCTGAATGTGGCTGTCCGACTTCCACTTCATGTTACATAAAAACACGTCCTTCGAATTGAAGAAATACGAGTCACTGTCTGACAATTATATCTCGCGTTAAAGCAGCAATGCTCGGGCATTGATATCAACCGATCTGGGTCTCGTATAGAAATTGTGAAGAGCGAGTCGTGAAACACACGTGCGAGCGGCGCGAATTCTCGAAATATTCTTGCGCTGCCCCGCATTACCGTAGGTAGGCAGTGGTAATTCCGTAACTTATAATGCATTTTCTGCTCCGGACTGCAAAATAATGGTCGCCGTGCTAACTTAGCATTACGTCAAAAGTTCCGGCGAACGTTTAACATACGTCCGACGCGCTATTTATGGCCCATGAAATATTTCCGCGTTATAATTGTGCCTTGAAGCCTGAATTCATAATGCTCATTTTCTGGCGCCGTATCCCCACCCTCATCGTGCCCCCGCGGGCACTTAAAAAGAAAGATATGCAAGGGGCATTAAATAAATTTACACTTTCGGTGCTCTCTCACTCGTTGCGTAAAAGAGCACATGACCTGATTATTCTCCCTCTTTTCTTCAAGTTAGTTTTATGGTATCGCGAAATTCATTTGTAATTTTCATGGCGGTTCTAACGAGAGAATTTCATGTCAAGGCAAGTCCAACATTAAACCGCTTTCTCGTCTTTTCTCACTCGGAAATAATCTTCTTCTCGCAAAAACTTATAAGGCCTAATGACGCGCGATCGAGAGATAACATTGTATAAATTATAAATGTTATAAATTTATCGTTGAACCAATTAATGGACAATATCCACTACTAATCGTAGTAAAAAGTGCAAAATCCAGAGAAACAGAAACGCGAAACGAGTGTGTCTCTTGGCAGGTAAAAAAAATTACTAAAATGCATCGAGAAGTGATCAGCTCAGTCGAGAGTCGGGCACGATCGTGTCGGGAAAATTGGAACAGTCAGCGACCGCGTGCCGCTCTTCTCGCGCTGGTTTATCTCCAGTGCTTTTAATTTCGAGCTACCGAGCTCTTTATACCAGCGAGGGGCATAATTATCCACAAGAGGATGGAAGGTCGGCATTGAATATTTTACCTCTCGCTCCTTGCAGCATCGCCGATCTCCCTCTTCCTCCATCTTCTCTCCCTACTCCTCTTTCGGCTTCATACTAACACTTCTCATTCCGTAACGAAAATAAAAACGGATAAGCAGAAAAGCGGAAGGAGGTTCGCGACTTGAAAAGCGAGAATGGGAAGGATCCTTCTCTCCAAAGTCTTACGACTCCGGGATTAGGTAGGAAAGTTACGTCAGGCATTTTGCGGCCAGCTTTGCATAAGTTCTGGTTCTATCTCATTCCCTTTCGTTCCCGTTGTTCCGTATTCCGTCTCTATGTTTCGTGATTCTCGTTTCGGACGTATGCCCGATAAAAATGCGGAATCGTATTAACTTCTATATCGTAATCCGGCAAGCTATTTCGCTTCTGAGCCATTATTATCTTACCACATGACTGATTCACGATTTAACGATGTCGCGAGCTTGCGCAAAGAGTGATCTAAAGAACGTGTAAGGCATGGTCTATACAAAATTCAATTCAATTATTTTACTAAAGTATATTCAGGACCTTTTCAAGATATAACTCAATACAAACGTAAACGCCATTTAGATCCTGGCCAGCTGGAGGTAGCCAATTAAATTAATATGTCAATTCATATACCTTATTTTTTCCAATCTGTCCTGCGCGCCGTTACTTCCGGACATATAACACGGGTTTTTCGTTAGGTGGAATCATTATCGTCAGTGAATTCACGTCTTATAAAATCGCTGAACGACTTTTCTAATTATTTAAAAATGCCATACTTAATTATCTGTGCTACTAGTATACTCTAGACTCTTTAAAATGCTATACCCTGACAGTCTCGGTGATCGTGTTGGTTAAGACGCCCGTCACGGATTGAGGGAGGTCCCAGATTCGAATCCTGACTGGGGTAATATTTTTCGCAATAAGAACTTTAATTTCAATAGGGTTAGGGGTTTATTGTAATGAATACTAAGTATAGCATTTTAAAATAATTAGAAAAGTCGTTCAGCGATTTTATAACACGTGAATTCACTGACGATGATTCCGCCTAACGAAAAACCTGTGTTATATGTCCGGAAGTAACGGCGCGCAGGACAGGTTGGAAAAAATACAGTATATGATTTCACATATTAATTTAATTGGCTACCTCCAGCTGCCCAGGACCTAAATGGCGTTTACGTTTGTATTGAGTCAAATTATTCTTCTAAATAATTGATGTTGCATGTAACAAATCTCGTCTCCAGTTTACAAGTTTTGAAACGATAAAATATATTTATATTTATAACAACGAAATATATTGAAAAATACATATCTTTGGATATATATTATATTCATATTCAAAACATGAAATTTTTGTTATCGATTTGTTAAAGTTAGCAAACCTATCTTCTTATAATCAATGCGAGAAGATATTAAAATATTAAGTCAAGTGCAAGAGAATCTTAAAATGAAAAGTATTTATCATTTTGACAGCTAACGAACCTAGTTTATCGTTATAATTAATACAAGCGACGATCGCGATATGACGTACGTGAGTGATTCGAGGTGTAATGTTGGTTTCGTCATGTTGTAAAAGTCAGCAGATTTATTTTATCGTTATAGTTAATACGAAGAGGGGGACGGCCGACGAAAATGGATTGCATCGATATGCAAATGTTCTCCGAGTGCATAATCAATTTGATATATACCGAATGCATTTTTCCACTGTAATATTATTATATACGAATATGAGTATCGATCGCATTTTTTCCATTAATTTAACTTGTAATATAAGGGAGCCTGGAAATTCTCGTAAAAAGTTGCCGTTAGTCGCGCGCGTTCGTTAGTTCGAATTGACGAAATTATCAGTTCGGCATCGAGGGAAGACTTCGCGAAGTGATCTTCGACGGAGTCCGTCTTTACAGGCCATGCACGTCTGATATAAAGTATCTCACGCTGTTGGAACGGAGAAAAAACCGGAAGATCTGTCTTTCGTGACGCGTTTCGCCTCCCTGAACACAATTCCGCGCAGCCGGTGTTCAAGAATGAGGTATAAACCGTTGATAAATGATCACGGCAGAAAGAACAGCCTCGTAATTGTAGTCTTATTAATGGCTCGCAACTGCACGGTGTAACGACCTGTAGCTATAACACGCATCTCGTTTGTATCTCGTAACCGTAATCTGCCAATTTACGGCGTGAAATCGCTTGTAGCACGAAAACGTGCATGAATTCATAGGGAGAGGGTGGAAAACAAAGCATCCAGAATAAATTCTCAATTGCCTCGGGAAAACTGATTGTTTCTGATAGATCCGATAAATTATATTCACTTGTCATCGTTTCCTCTAGTCGCAGCTCCTAAATTAATTTCTCTTCCAGATCAACGTAAAAATTAATTACTTCTTCATTTTAATTAAAATCAGTAAGCGTTAAGAATTTTTCTGCGTTGATATTAAATCTGGATTATATTCTTTTAGGATGTCCAGGGGCCAAGGAGGGTGGTCGGACGAGCCCTGCACTTCTAGCAGTGCAGGTCGACGCGGTGGAGCACGGCAAACGGCGGGATCGTCTTCGAGAACGGCAGCTTCCGTCTTGGAGGAGCGCGCTTCCGGTACCACGCCATGTAAAAGTGGCTTCAGATTAGGGGTCTACGGCTGGAGGAAAAAATGTCTCTATTCTCTCGTGTTAACCCTCATGGTCATCGTCATTCTCAACCTCGCCCTCACCGTCTGGCTTCTCAAAGTCATGGGATTTAGTCCCGTAAGTTTATAAATTAATGGAAGTCGTTTCTTATCGTGCGAATCATTAATGAATATTATGAGATCGTGAGCTCGCAAACGTTGTGCACAGTTCCCGTAATAAGAGTTCGAGAAGGCGGAAATATGCTAAACTTGGCCTATTCGATAATTCGAGAATATCCTCGTACGCCTTGTAATTTTCTTGATAGACGTATGAGAAATAATATATGTCGCGCACTACGAAAACGCCGAAACGCACTCCAGTCCAGAATGATTCCTTCCGGTTAGAGTCTCTTCCAAGTTTGATCTGGATAAGGACGTGTGTAACTTTCGACAGTCATTAAAGTCGACTTCCGTCTTGCGGCCTGGAATTAGTTTCGCACGAGTTCCCAAGCCCGAATAACAGGCCTCGACGAGGGTGCCGGATCGTACGAGGGCGGTGTGCGATCGGGGCACATCGCTTTGAGAGGATGGCGACGAAGAGAACGCGAGGCGCGAATGTGGTTAATATAATTCGCCGTAATTGCCGGAACTGTTACATCAGCGCCGTTGCTATATTCGTCGTGGAAAATTGTCGTTTGCACTTCATACTTCTTCTTCCTCCGGACTTAATTCGGACGCGTTACAATTACCCGTCCCCGGAATCGACCGGGGGGTTCATTAGTAAGTAAGTCGACGGCGTTCGAGCGTTCTCCTTCGCTCCTCGCAATCCCGGAGAAACGCGGCCCGTACCAACTTCTTGATTGCGATAATGGCTGTAATGTAAAGGTCGTTTCGATGTAAATGTCTGTGTCGCGCGCGAGAGCCAGGATACGACTTTCCTAAGTTAGCGGGACACGTTTGGCGATTTCGAATCGAACGAGAACCCGTACGCGTATATCGTGTTTAACGTGTTCATTTTGATATTACGAAATTTAGCATTTCACTTGAGATTTCTTTGGTAATTATATACTTGATGTTAAGCATCTTGACAACAAATAAATTAATCGGTCCATTTCATTTCTACAATTTGTTTGAAATTGGAAAATGAAAGAATTCATCTCATTCTTATATAATATATAAATCTGAAGCGGACAATGCACCTTACAATCGTCTCGTAACACTCGACTCGAGTTGCGCGCAGAAATCAAGAGATTCGCATAAATTTTTCCAATCCACTTTATCGCCCAATATTGACGCCTTCGCTTCTGCGAATCGTCATTCCTACCTATTCGAGAGGATGCAACAATGACATTGGGATTCGTCGATGCTAAGCTAACGCTCAGTCCGCTCGATTAAAGCAAAAACGTGAGATTGTCCAACCCTCGTCTCGCGCCTCCACCGAACTGCAGCTACCTATTCGCCATTATCGAATTTATTCGAAATCGAAAGGAGCTCCTGCGATCTGGCGCAATGATCCCTCGATGGGGGCTAAACTCGGTGGAAATTGAGTATCAATCCGTAAGTAAGAAGCCCGAGAGTAGCAGGGATACCCCGTGGGAAATGTAAGTCTCTGCCACTTCTTTCCCCATCCCTCGTCACCCTTCTAGTTCTCTCCTCTCTCTTCCTGTTTTTCGTACTCTCTCTCTCTCTCTCTGCTCTCTTTTCCGTTTTATTCCGCTTCCATTCCTTGTACGATCGACAACCCCTTGCCGCTGTCTCATCCCCATTCCACGTCCCATCCTCTCACAGTGATTCTCTCATTTCATCTCCCACCCGGTTTTTCTCTGGCTCTTCTTCGCTCTGTTTCTCTCTTTTTTCCCCGGGTATCCTTCAACCCCGTTAATACCGCTCGATTTGCCGATTCGCGCCAAAAACTTCCCCGGTGTGTCGGTGTGTCGCTTTCTCCCCCTTTCTCTCTTCTTCATCTATCGTAAGTCGTAATTAGCAGCGGTAATTAAACTCTCGTTTATCGGCCAGTACTCACACCGATAACTCATGTCCGATTAATTGTGCGACTCGGTAAATCAGCGAGACAATCAATTAGGAGTTCGGGCGCGTTAATTATTGCGCTCGGCCGCTGCGGGCTGTTGCGATCGACGATTTACGAGGATTTCGATTCACGGCGAGAAATTCGGGAATCGATGTATACTGACATATCTGCGGAAAGTCGGATGTAAAAGTCTTCGATGAATCCGCGAGTCGAGTGGCCGAGGAATATAAATATACGACTTGTGCGCGACGATACATTTCAAGTGCATTTTGCGAGAGCGTAAAAACATAATCTTATAGTACCGTATAGGTATATGGGATTTCATGTGAAAAATGAGTGATATAAACGGATTGACCAGACAAATCGAAACTACATAAAACGTAAAGCCGCGTACTAGGTATTTTCGTGCGGTTTAGACTAAACTTTTGGAAAAAGCACCAATTCGTAGAAAACCAGCCAGGAATTTTATTAGTACGACATTTTAAATATTAATTAATATATACGATTTTATAAATATTATTCTCCGAAGTATTTTGAACGGTTTTAAAATGTGCAATCTCCCGGGATGCGAAATGAAACGAGTGGAGTACGTTGCACTTATTGCATCTCGCGCTTTTCATAACGCGTGTAAAAAAATGGGAGGACTGGGAGGGAGTATCCGAAATTAAGGTATTCTTGTATTTTTTAATACAATAACTGCGACGCGGATACGAACGTAGTGGAAAACAATGTTCTGCAAGACAACCGGAGCTGACATAGTTACACGATGATATTTTACGACGTTTATACAAAGTGAACCGAAACTACTTTCGCAAACAGGACGAATTTTAAACGGTATGCAATTAGATCGCTAATCAAAACTGAAGATCTAAGCGAATTAAGATTTAAAATTTTATTTCCATCCGGTTTTCCTCGCTCCCCATGGAATGCCACGTGTATTATGCACATCGCGAGGTAGGTGAATGCAGTTTTTGGCAATATGTATCCATTATGACGTGTAAAAACCGACATAGCGGTGGTTACAAGCGCCGCTGAAACCACGAGTCACGGGGTGTTACGTAGAATTGAGAGCTGGAACTCGTCGGAACTCGGTTGATACCCATCTAGAAGTTTTCCGCTCCTATGCGAGCTGTTCCTAGGCGAGTGAAAGCGCGATGCACTCCCGGACCGGGAAATATTTCATGCTCACCGTACTTCTCCCCCATCTTTATCCACCCATCCTCTCCGACCATTCATATTTGATGAGAGTCTCGGTCTGCCTTCCACTGCCTCTTTTCACTCTCGAGTTACCCCGTCTCGGCCAACCCCCGACCGACGTTCTCTCCTTCTGCTCGTCCTCCACCGCAAACGATATCGCGAAGAAATTAAATCATTTTTCTCAATTAAGAAAACCGTCTTGTTCGTCGTGCGCCCTCGTAACTGCGAAACTTTCACCCCGGCGGAATTAATTAAGAGCTCCTCGATCGGTGCGCTTTATTAATGAAGTTTGGTACCGCCGCGATCGATGTTACCGGTTAATAATTATACGTATGGCTAACGATTTCCCAACATATTCATTCGCGCGTTGTACGAAACGATCTCTGGAAGCGCGCTTTGCCTCGAATAGTCTTCCCGACCAAGTTGGAATCAATTTTCTTTTCTAGTGGAAAATTAAACGTCTGATATCTTTTCGCAACTTTAAGTATCTCGACGGCTAAGCTTCTTATAATTTGAGAAACTTCCTTCATTTATCATTTACATTTTACACCATCCGAGGTTTTACTTCATCAATTTTTAATACTCTTGCGTTACGTATTCGCCGCGTTTTATTTGCAATCTTCGACTACGCGTACTATTTCGGTACGCTTTTATCGATTATGTTTGCATTTTTACGAGGGCACGAAAAGATTTTCCCTACGAGGCACTTTGTCGTTCACGAGTATCAATATTTCGGGTTCCTTTCGGGATTCCTATCAAGTGGAGAGGTCTTAGGAGAGATCTTCGATTACGGACAATATATAATACACCCTGAAACGTTATGTCGGACGGAGCGATATACAGACACTATATTGGCACTAACGGCTTACATACATGGCCATAGCGAACAGATGCCCCTTCCACCTAATATCGCTTGCGGGACCTTACCCTCTATAACCCTTGTATCCATAGAGAATTCACCTGTATACATTCCTTCCTACATCCTCCACGAAGATACATATTGCACACGCTCCCTCCGCACCCATACAAGGTGGCTCCTTTCGCAAGAGATCCCTTCCATATAGAATCAATTGAAATCCATGTCTCGAAATGAACACTTGGCCGCCCAAGTCATGTACACTCGCGTGTGTTTCCATTAATTTGCGCCGCGTATAAGATTGACGTTTTCCTTTTTAATTTCAATCATACAGTTTTGAGACAAAAGACACGTACGTACAGTGACGTCAACGAGAAGAGATTTTTATTATTACTGCATTATGCAGAAATTTTTTAATAATAAGAATAATTTCCGAGAAATCAAATTAGCAATCTATATGAGAAAAGATATTAAAAATGTAATCGATATTCTTTCCATAAATTATACTAAATACATTTAATATTCCCCAAGTCAGATACAGTTAATTGATAACGATAATCAATAATATAATATATCCATGTAATGTTCTCATTAATACATTTACACAAGGGAATAAATGTTGCATTGGAAAAATGTAAAATTAACAAATGTACATAAATTAAATGATCAGATCAAATATCATCATAATTCTATTTTACAGCAGATTCTGTTGTGCATACTTTACTCCAACGAGGAATAAAAATAGAAACGATAATCAACAATATGCGGCGTGAACTTTATGCAGCTACACGATTTCGCGACAAAAATTCGAACGCGGGTGTTTTGTGTACGTGAAAGCGCGAGTGGTCACCCCATATATACAGGTTACATATATACAATGTGTTAGTATTAAAGGATATCCATTATAACACCTAGCCACCAAGTGCAAGTGCAATATAGCGGGTATAGCGCCATGAATTTTGAACGTATAGCAGTGCCGTAGTACGTTAGTGGTAGCGGTTATAGCTTGGTTCGCGTGGAAGACCGAACAGACAAGTTTATTGTTTCCAGGGATTTC